GACGTGATCTCGACCTTCTTAAATCGTATTTGCGTGGTAGGGTACAGAGGGTCGATGTTAACGGTACTAGATGGGTGTCCCTCAAGGTTCAATGCTAGGCCCAATTTTGTTTTTATTTTATATTAATGACTTACCTAGCGCTCATGGAGGGTATAAAACATGAGATAGTATTGTTTGCTGATGATACTTCCTTATTATTTAAAGTTAAAAGGCACCAGTGTTCCTACGACGATGTGAACAATGCTATATCTAAAGTAGTTGATTGGTTTGCTGTTAATAACCTACTCCTTATTGAGAAAAAAACAAATTGTGTGAAATTTACATTACCCAATGTTAGAGAGACGGTTACAAACATTGTAATTAGAAACGAAACATTGAATCTTGTGGATACAGTTGTATTTCTAGGTATAACGTTAGATCCTAAATTGCAATGGGGTCCCCATACGAGTATAAGTAAGTTATCAAAACGGCTTGGCTCGGCAGTGTACGCGATTAAAAAAATAAGGAAACTTTCAGATGTCGAAATCGCTAGATTGGTTTACTTCAGCTACTTTCACAGTCTAATGACGTACGGCATTTTGCTTTGGGGTAATGCCGCCGAATCTTTGTCCTGCAGAAACGTGCAGTTAGGGCAATTTGCAATCTGGGCCCCAAAGTAACTTTGAGAGATAAGTTTAAGGAAATTAACATTCTTACACTAGCCTCGCAGTACATTTATGAAAATGTAATTTATGTTAAAAGGAATAGTAATTTCTTTATGAAAAATAGTGACAGACATAACATTAATACGAGGAACAAAAATAAACTAGCTTTTAAGGGGCAATGTATACGCTTCCATAAAAAGATTCCGGTTGATATACAAAATTTGCCTTTCACGAGGTTTAAAACTATAGTGAAACAAAAACTTTATACTCAAGGTTATTAGTGAACTTCTCCGTACTTGGATGACAAAAATCCGTGGTAGTAACCCGTTTAGCTCTTGGAGGTAGTCTCGATCTCTGATGTTTCAAATAAAAAAAACAATATATGTTGTAAATTTTGAATGTGTACAAATGTTATTTACAAAGAGCAACCCCTAGAGTTTCTTGCTCATTCTCCTCAGGGGAATGTGCCTTACGAATGAGCGGTAGAGTTTAACCATTGTGACGATTTCAAGTGTAATAATGCTTACCTATGAAATAAAGTTATTTTTGAATTTGAAATTGAACATTTAGGCGCTATTTATAAAAATGAATCTTCATGCGTGAACAGCCACCCTTAGAGGTGGATGATTTTCTTCAAAATTAAGTGGGACGACTAGGGAGGTACCCTCTTTCCAACAAAAAAATTTTCGTAACACAAATCTTTACGTATATCCAATAGTTTGGTTTGCTGTACGCGTTTCGTTGCACACGTCCTGTAGACGCTTTAATATGAACATATCGTTTTTAATTGTTCACCGATTTAAATAAAATAATCCTTAAAATGTTAATGCAAGCTTATTTTATACATCGCCGGAAACCATACCCGAACAGGTTCAGCCTCTGAGGAGATTAGCGTGCACAAATGCCCAAACAAAAAATATAAGCACTGGTAGACTGACTTGTTTAAAATTAATCTGTCCGGCCGGCCCGCGGCGCTGTCTCGAACTCGAATGAATTTTCCTTTGTGCTTGTTAGATCTTTGTATCGATAATAACACCAAACTAGTGGATTTTTTCATCTTAAAAATATGTCGCGGAAACAAAGCCATGATATTCAATAAAATAAATATTAGTTTAAAATATTAAAAATACATACTCAGATTTTACGATTTTATTATAAGTATTGAGTGTTCATGGTATTGTGCAGATAGTACATACAATCTAAAAATTGTCAGTTGTTGATGTACGAACCTTGTTTAAACTAATTACAAACAATACATAGACTTAGTAGTGAGAAGGAGTGCAATATTATTTCCAATAATCTCATCTACTATGCAGAGGCAAAAAACTTCGTAGTTGCATCCGTCCACTGATGTTCGTCTTTCCATATATTTTGTCGTGCATTCATTCCTCGTCTCTATTATTGTAGAATTTATAATGGAGGAATTGTTTTCCGATTCTTAAGGGGTGGGGTCCATTGCTCATTTGAATTTTCAGCGACTTGATAATGCGCCATTGCGCACTTTAACGTATTTATCTAGTTTTATTTTATTCATAAGTAAAATATTGCTCTAAATGTAAGGCCTTTACATTTTGGTTATTTACACAAATGTTGTTTTATATAGGTACATATGTGTATTATTGGAAGAGTTGCAATCCCAAATTATTCAAATAAAGGCTGATCTGGTGGTGCTCCGTGCGTGCGCGACTCGCACGCGTAGGAGATCCGCCACTTGCAATCTTTCCCCACGGCAATAGTCAGGGCTGGGCAAAATACATGCTACATCTTAATTGAAATACAAATGA